TATGGCATGTTCTGAAAGGCACAAGTTGTCAACTACCACATTTCCACCTTACTGTTGAGCAAACCCTTAATAGTATAGTAATAACTCAACTTTACGCCTGTGGGTGATGCGATTTCCTGGTGCTTTAAATTTTAGAAAGGCGCTCAGAAACTGGTTGAAAACATTGAAGAAGCAAGCCCTTCAGCATTCGTCAAGGGGGAAGTTCACGCGTCTGCGCCTGTTCTCGAGGTATTTTACTATCTATCATTATAATGCGTGTGTTTCTAGCTAAGTTTTTCTACGATATTAAGATTTTTACATTTTTTGTGCGTTTTTTGCATTTATGCAATGCAGAAGACGCATATGAATGAGGGGTTGTCTATGTCTGTGTATGCGCTTTGCGTCCGCATCAATTTTTATGCGTTTTGTACTGTGTAACAGCAGTACAAAACGCATATTGTCACGGGGTTGTCTGTGTGTGTTTGTGTATGTGTGTGTTCGCAGCAACTTGTCCGCAACTTTCAACTCAGGAACCACAAAAGCTAGGAAGCTGAAAATTTAGGGGAACGTCCAGCACCCGTGTGTGACCCCGCAAATTTAAATTCGGCTTTCCCGTACCTGCGAGTAACACGTACGGCCCCGTGAAAGTTTTTTGCGGGTAAATTAATATCTCGGGGACTACGGAGTCAATGAGGCTGAAATTTTAGGGTAATGACCCCCTGCCCACGCTCAACCTTGCCCATTCAAATTCAGCCTTCCTGCACCCACGGGTAACTCGTACGGCCCCGTGAAATTTTTTTACGGGTAAGTTAGTATCTCGGGAACCACGGGATCTAGAAGGCTGAAATTTTGCGGTAATGACCCCCTGTCCACGCTCAACCTTGTCCATTCAAATTCAGCCTTCTCTTACCCGCGGATAACACGTACGGCCTCGTGAAAGTTTTTCACGGGCAAGTTAATATCTCGGGAACCACGAAGTCTTGAAGGCTAAAATTCTAGAAGAATGACCCCTTGCCCACGCCCAACCTTGCCCACTCAAATTCAGCGTTCTCGCGCTCTCGGGTACCACCTACGGACCCGTGAAAGTTTTGGCGGGTAAACTTTGGCACGAAAGTTTTGGCGGGTAGAATTTCATGCACCAGCGCATGAATGCTGAATTCGAAACCTTGAAGGATGAATATCTTCCCGTGATTCCCGACTTAATACTAGGGAATCACCGCTATTATCAATAA